AAAATTGGTTTTCCAAAAAATCGATTTTGGTTTTTGGTGTAACTCTAAAACAAATGAACGTATATACATGAAATTTTCAGTGGTTGTTTATATTTGCATTTTCTATACACGATAACATTTTCAAAATATTTTGATTTATTTTGAACTGTTTAGGGACATTTTCATTTTCCATTTTTTTTCCATTTTTTTTCTAAAAATATCAATAAAATTTTATTTGTTGGTTGCGAAAGCTTGAAAATTTAATAGAAGGCTCCTAATATGTTGTTTCAAAGGCAGATGAAAAATATTAAAAATCCTTAGTCGCAATTTTTTTTTATAAGCATTTAAAGTTCAAAAATTGACAAAATATGGAAAAATCACGAAAATTAGCAAATTATTTTGAGTTAAGAATTCGTAAAAATTTTTCTTTTTAAATCTAAGATTTGAAAATGAAACACAAGATTCCTTATAAGATTATCTACCTTTATCAATAAAAAAATCTCTACCGGACAGTCAAATTAAATTTTTATGAGCGTTTGAAATTAAAATTTTTACAACATTGGATATTCACTCGATTACTCATGTAGCGATTTCTTTATTTTGTTGCAATTCAAAAACGAACAACTGTAAATACATGAAAATTTCACTCAATGTTTAAATTAGCATTTTCTATACACCATACAATTTTGAAAATATTTTGACTCTTTTTGAGCTGTTTATGGACATTTACAGCTTTCAATTTTTTTAGTTTTTTTTCTTTGAATATCAATAAAGTTTTATCTGTTGGGCCAAAAAGTGTAAAAATTTAATATAAGGCTCCTGATATATTGTTACAATATCAGTTGAAAAATATTAAAAATACATATGCACAATTTTTTTTTATAAGCATTTAAACATCGAATTTTGACAGAATTTTTCAAAATCTCGAAATTTATTAATCATCGTAATTAATAAGTTATAAACTGTTCAGTTTTTATAGCTAAGGATTGAAAATTTAAAACAAGATTCCACGTAAGTAGTTAATTATTTTACCCAAAAATCTAAAAAATATACAATCACAGTTTATTTTTATAGTCATTTTATGTTCAAATTTGGACGAAATTTCATATTAAAAAACCTAGTTATTTTGTTGTGATTATATAATATTATTCGTGGGTACGGGGTACCTACTTGAAACTTCTAAAGTGTATTATTATATATCGATGATAGTATCAGGGTTTGTTATTGATGTTGATGTATAACGTGTTATAAGTACCTAATGGATATTGTGATAATGTGATATGATTAATTTGGAATTTATTATAGGTCAATTTTTTTTTAATACCATAGATTTGTATATAATTTATCTTAAACCTAGACTGACATACCGTCTTCGCTCAGAATCGTTTTTCTTATACAATGATATTATATCATTGAATCAAATTTAATAGCATCCATTATACAGTGACCCACTTGTAATCTACTGTACAGCAGAGCGACATCCACTTACCCACCTTTTTTTTATGAATGTCGATTAAATTTTATTTGTTGTGTAAAGTTAAAGCTTGAACATTTAATACAACACTCCTAATATATTTTTACAACGATATTTAAAAAATATTAATAATCCATATAGTCACAATTTGTTTTTATGAGCATTAAAAGTTCAAATCTGGACAAAATACGTAAAAATCACGAAAATTAGTAAATTATTTTGAATTAGAAAATCATAACAATTTTATTTTTTAAATATAAGATTTGAAAATGTAGTATAAGATTCCATATTCCTCTGTTCACCTTTACCAACAAAAAAAAAGTCTACAAGAAAGTCAAATTAAATTTTTACAAGCATTTGAAGTTCCTATTTTTATAACATTGGATATTCACTCGATTTCTCATGTAGCAATTTTCTTATTTATTGTTGTAATTCAAATACTAATAACTGTATGTTCATGAATATTTCACTGAATTATGTTTTCCATCGAACAATATACTGTCGAAGCAAATCGAAGCATAGTCACTGCCCGAAACGGTAAAGACAGTCACAAAAAAAAAAAAAAAATAAACAAATAACTAGATACCTACATAAATATATAAAAAAAGAAACACACATCATTGTAAAATCAATACATTCATCGCTCTACTTAATATCTAAAATAGTAAATTAGGTATATTGTAACGTTCTGGGAACTTGGTACCTACTATTGTAGTAATAATAGTAGACAAGTAGCTACCAGTACGTTAATGTTGCAGGTCGCAGACACTTCTTCAGATAATATAGTCGTGGTTGATGAATGAATGATATAACAGTTGTTGTATAATTGTGAATTTTATTATAACACTCGATAATTTTACTAAGTTCAAATATTGTTGTACAGAGTGGCGTGAAGGTGCTTGCACTAATGGGTGGTAGTACACGTCTGAATACAGGTTAATATATGAGGTTCCCCGTACGGCCGTACCCCTTGCCTATGGATACTGTATCTCGGCTCACAGATGTGATTTGTGTGGTCATCGTTCCAGCCCACGCATTTTATGACTTCCCAATATAATTCTGCGTATTACTAAAATGTTAATCTATGGTCTATTTCATTAAAATAATCATTCTACTAATCATTTTAGTCGTTCTGTTCAGTACTTTTGTAAAATATTACATCCGCCTATTTTTGAACTCTTCCGTCTGAGTCATTATATTATTCAGTGAGCTTGTCTCCTTATGTTATACGCAGGAGGAAATCCTATTTCCGTTTCTAATATCCGATTTATGCCGATCTACAATATATTATACTAATTATATACCTGTGGAATTGGTTTTATTGTTACGTAGTAACTTGCTTACTACAATATTGATAACTTAATTAAAAAAATGATGTTCTGTATAATGACTGATTTTATTAAAAAAATTATGTTCTGTATAATGACTGATTTTATTAATAATAACATAAAGTATTTATAATTAGACAATTGGAAGATTTCAATGTCCAAAAGTTTAATGTATACCTATCTAACATCTACCATAGTCCATTGACCTTGACAGAGATTCATTATAGTTCCTATAATTTCATTATTAATCAACAAATGTCTTGATAAAATTGGATGGATAACGATTGTGTTGTGTATGTGAAACGGTTATATAAATCATAATAAAATATTAAAATTTAGCCTGTAATCCTATAGGTATCAACATCTATGAGTAATCTATATTAAATTCTATGCTCTAAATCATACATTTAAGATATTATTTAAAAATTATTAATGTTAGTTAAAAGTATAAATTTGTGATAAGTCATAAGTGTAATTTTATATAACCTAATACCTAAATAGGCTAAGTTAGATAAAAAAAATTGATTTGTAAGACTTTTTATCACATTGGTGATTATCAAAAGACTAACATTTTTTTCTATTATTACTAATAAATTACCCTCGATGACTGGCCATTGGGATACATGTATTATTTATATTAAGAACTTATTTATAATGGTATTAAGGTTCAGACTAAATTTTTTTCACTCAAATAATAACCCATAAACTATATACATATAAAATGAAAAGGTCTGCATAGGAAATGTCCAGTTGGCACTGTGCTGGAAGTACTTAATAAAGTTATTTTGCTCTATATTGTGCCACAGTCCACAAGTTATACTTTACTGAAACATAATAGAACATTACAACAAGCTTACAATCTAGGTATAAAAAGACAAATAATGATGAAAGTATTTCAATATTTTTAAAAATTGTAGTGAATAATATACAAAGTGATCGTTTTATCATTAACCGTTCATTAGGCATCTACTTTGAAACATTTTTAAAAATATATTTTTTCATTTTGTTTTTATTTTCCTTGGTTTTTTTCCGGGATTCCCTAACAACAGGCTACGGTTATTGGCTATTCATATTTCATAGGTATGGGATTTTCAGGCCACGCCTGGAAAGTTGAAAATCCGCTTGGCCGTCTGGTGTAAAATTCATAATATTAATAAATAATATTCTAATATTAATATTATGTAGATGAGTACGCAATGAGCTGCAGGTAAATTTGCAATTTATTATTTTATTATTGCACATTTTTTTTTACCGACTAGAGGGCAGCACCGGCGTCGTTGGCGACCAAACTGAAACGACGTGTACACTGTACACCACCATATTAAAAAGAACGGACATAATTGATCGTGGAACGACGAACAGTAGACTCACTCACGTCTCACAGGCTCTCACACAGTTGGCTCATAGCGTATAATACACTGCTCTTGGCCAATGCACTCAGTCGGTGACGGTGGTTTGTGACGGAAGAAAGCGAATACAGTAAATTGCCAAATGGGTGAGTATCTGTCAACTATAGTTTTGTCGTTTTCCTTTCACCTACTATCATGTATTGACATCAACATTTAACAATGACTGCAATGTAAACATTAACATATTTTAACAACATGGTTTAATGTTAGAACACAAATTTATATATTTTAAAGTTGTAGCACGGATAAAAATTGGATAGCTAATATTCGGTTAATATGAACGTGGTCATGTGGCATGACGGTCATTGTTCGTGGTGGTGGTTCCCTCATGGTGGACGGTTAACAGGGGCGGCACAATAACCACATTATCCGTTATTATTATTATTATTATTATTATTATTATTATTATTATTATTATTATTATTATTATTATTATTATTATGAGATTATTTATATTATAGAGACTACCTGTGTCCTCAGACGTACAGAAATAACTCGGACGATCTGATCACCCCAACTTCGACTAAACGGCGCAATCGTTATTGTTGTGCAACCAGCGATTATTGTTTTTTCAAAAAGAAGGATTTTTTTCAGTAAGAAGGACTTCGAAACTATTACAGTGTTAAATGTACAATGTCGTGTCCGTCCATGGACACTGAACATTTGTCACAATAAATAATGTAGTGCTGTGTGTTGAAGTGGGGTGGGGTGGGGTACGCCGCAATATATTTACTTATTTTTTTCAGAGTTAACGAATCATTTGACCGCATTCACCACTAATATCACATAATAACCACCATTTTCCCAGTCATGTCAAATCAATCATCATACAAATCAGATGTGACTAATTTTTCAGTGACAGATGATAACAATCTCATTGGATTTAAGCAAATCAAAACTTTTGAATGGACTACAAGACTTGAAAGGTGTTTGCTACTAAACATGATACGTCTGAAGCCTTGTGGTAAGTCCTATGCACCGCTGTCCACCCTTTTCTTTTGTTATATTATGTATCAAGGTTGTATTATTTAGGTCAAGTTCTTCACATTAATTCACTATAGGATTATATAATAGTATAAAGTAATGATGAATATTTATATTGTAAATTGTTTAGGTCAATTAATTATTATAAATATATACCAAATGTATATCATAACATATTTACTTAAATAATATTTTGTATTTAGTATACACATACTAATATACTGTATTATCATAAAACGTAATCATTATTAAATCATTCAACGTGATTCTGCGCCAGGACTCATTTAATGATTTAACTTTATTTAAAATTGTATATTTTTCTATTGGTTATTTTGTGCTTTATAATATTTAAGCCAGAATTTTTTTCTTTGGTCTAGTTTAAATATTTTCAAATACAGTTTTGTGGATATCCAAAAAAATTGGCTATGTTGTACAAAATTAGTAAAGCCACTTAATATATCAATGAATGAAAAATTATATTAAATGTTAATCTAGCAACAACACGTATAGTAGATTATATCATTGATTTATTGTTAAGCCTGTTGTAATTGGCTTAAGAGGTCAGTATAATTTTTTTTCATCTTATACGTTATATTACTATAATATAGCTAAAACCTATTAAGGTATTGTAACCTTGCTTATAAAGAATAACACTATCTTAATTTCTTCAAAAGCTTTTTTTAATGTTCTTTTTATATAAAAGTTATCAACCTATAAATAACTAAAAAAAATTTAAAAAACCCTCTGGCCAAACAGATAGTTATTTTTTGGTATAGGTCCTTCATACTTTTTCAATAATGTAGTAATAATGATCGAAAATCAAGAGAGAGGTTTATACTATATTCCTTATTACTTAATGTTCAACCCTTATTGTTTCTCTATACATATAGATAAAGAGAAAGATTGTCAAAATTATAATATAAAAGTTCTGTATAAAATGATACAATAGGTAGGTATTAATTGTATTAATCTGCATTAATTGTTATGTTTCTTAAAAACACTAAATAATATTTACATATCTATCAAATATATCTTGTCTTAAGAAAGTTTTTTTATTCCATTTAAGAAAATAATATAAAATAATAAATACACATTAAATTTCATAGTATGTTGATCTGCTATGTAAATTATTTAGTAACAATGGTATATTTCTGAATATTAATTTATAAAAAGAAACCTACAAGCTTATAGTTTTGGTTTATAGTGTATAAATTACATAACTGTGTACATGTTAATAAATTCCATTACTAATTAGTAGATTTCAGATAATTGTGCTTTATAAACATTAAAATAAGTACATAAATTCTTGAGAAAAAACAATCTTATAAAAAAACAGCTCTAATAATTATAGAAGTATTTATACCCACCAAACTATCACATGTAAAAATATATTTCCCTAATTCTGTAACTATATCAGATGACTATCATAGTTGAATAAGAAATTATAACATTACTTATTTTCTGACAAATATACAAATCAAAAAATACATGTTTATGCATACATATGTATGAACATATTAAATATATATAATATTATGTATGTACATTAACAGTATTAAAACGATTCTGTCTTTCTAAACTAGATGCCCTATTAGATCAGATAATTGATGTTTATTGTACAATTATAATATATTATATAAATACACCCATTATATTCATAATAAATAAAATATTGTATTTGGTTTCAGGAATTAACAAACACTTAAGTATACTTCTACTAAAAGAAAAAATAAGTAAAGAATTAGAACTTAATATACCAATTAAGGTTCTATGGAATTATATGTCATCTAAATGGGATATCAGAGCTGCTGTAAATAATAACTTAGTTGATGATAATTAACATTTCTAGATGATGTGAGTCTAATATTCTTTTAATTTTTAGGATATTATAGAACATATAAGTTTTAATACTAGTGAGAAAGATTTTGTTTTACCAGAAGAGTTTGACCAGTTGATTTTTGAAGAAGGAGAAAAAATTAAAAAACTAGAGAAAGAATGTGAGTTAATTGTTTTGATTTTGTAAATGTTATTGTTTTGATTATTGTTTAATTAATATTATTTTCAAAGGTTTAAATGATGAAATTAATAAGAAAAAATTATTAAATTGGAGTGGTAAAACAAGATCCAAGTCTAATTCTATGTCCTCTGTAGATTCGAAGGAAGGTCTCAATGAGACAATTCCTTCAACAATATTAGAAAGCTCTCCAGCTAAAACAAATGAAGTTGGATTTGACGATGGTCCGTGTACTAGAAGATCATTGCGTACAAATGACAAACTAGAAAATAGTAAATCTGATGAAAAAAACAAGTTAAAAGATTTGAAACAGATAAATAAAAAAACATCAAATCAATCTAAAGATGTGGACAAGATGGAAAAAGTCTCAAAGTTTAGAGGTCGAAAAAGAAAAAGTAGAAATGTGTCAGAATCTAGTTTTAGTTCTGATAATAGCAAACAGCGTAGGAATTATAAAAATAATTTAACAGATTTAACTATTTCGGATAGCTCGTCTAGGTCAGTAACTCCAGAGATTCTGCGAGGTAAAACATCAAACCGTTCAGTTACACCTGATACTATTAGTAGAAAATCAAACTTGCGCTCTAGTGATAAAGACCAGAAATCTAAACTTGCATTAGAAAAAGCATGTTTAAAATTTGGTCATCACGTTGATCTGGTTAGGTTACCAGAAATAAAAATTGAACGACTAAAAACTGAAAAACAATTTTTATCTTTAATGGATGCTAAGTCTAAAAATTTAACACATAGTAAAAATGAAGCAAATAACAAAGTAAAAACTAAAATACGTAATAGAGTAACATCCGATCTATTAGTAGTTCAACAATCTCCAGAAATACAATCATTAGGCAGGCGCTCTTGTAGCAATAAAAATTCATAAAATTTAAAAATGACAAATGACACAAATTACCTTTTCATTAAATCATATATACATTTAATTATAAATTATCAATGTAACTAATAACATTTATTTAATATCACTTATATAATATTGTAGGTATGTTTTATTATCTTTAATACTATAAATGTTAATTTCTGAAAACAAACACCTTTAAGTAAAATTTTAAGTACTTTTTTCATATCAGTGGACTAGAATTTTACCTATTTAGTATAGGTAATATATAACATAATACTACATGTAATCTTCAATGTCGTTGATACTTCAATGCAAAAGATTTTTATTACACTTGATAATTTTTGATTTAACTAGCTAAAAAAAGGTGAATCTATTTTGTTTACTAATTAATAAATACTCACAAGCCACATTTTTAATAATTTTTTACTGACTAACTACTAGGTTTTTTTTTTAACAAGTTTAAAAAGGTTCATTAATATAATTCAACATATTTAGTTAGCTTTGTTTAGAATACATATTGAAACTCTAAATTTTATGTCAGTAGTCTATTTGATATTAAATTCTTTAATTCAATAAGCTTCTAAAATATCACCTAGACATTATTTCTTCTTACAAATACTTATAATTCTTAAAAAAAAAAAAAAATTAAAAACAAGGTCTTGCTTTCTTGGGTAAACTTTCTTATGTCGTTTAGTACTTTTACTATTGAATTATAATATAATTCTGTTTATATTTTTATCTGTTCAAATAAAGATGATTGCAAGTAAAATTGCTTGTATTTTTTTTTTTTTTGCTCTGGTAGGAATGTCCCTTGATATAGATTTAAAATATGTTTACTTAAATATTAAAATAGTTAACTATGTTCTTTAACAAATTTTGAATAATTCTTAATCTATATAAAATTGTAACTAATCAATTATTATGTTCTTAAAAATTCTTTTTGATACACATATTTTGATAATGTTAGGCCTTAAAAAAAAATATTTAATAGTATATAAAGGTATCAATAATTTAAATCATTTAACTACGTAATTTTTATTTTTATTTATACTCAATTTTAACCTTAAAGTGTTATTTAAAATACCTAATTAGAGTATTCAATTATTTTTTTAAAGAGTTAACAATTTAATTTTTTATGTAGGATTATTTAAAAATATGCATTATTTTTGATATAATTATGAATTATGATACCGTATACTTAATCATATGAATTAAATTTCAGTTGTGTTTTTGTCTATTAGATCAATTATTATTGTGATTTTTTAAGTTCTATTTTTATGTTAAAAGTTAATTATTCATTTCAGCAATCATTTATACATTGAAATAACATTGTTTTGATTTTACATTTGGCAGCAACATTTTAAATTAAATTATTTATTCAACTTATGAAGTCCCATCAATGGTTCAATCAAGACAAACGAAAATCAACTCATCAGACCTGACTTGCTTTTTAATGTCAAACACAAATATAATTAGATTGTGTAAAAAAATTAATAAAAATAAATAGATTTATAGAAAATATAAATTTTTTATCTAAGCTTAATTCTTATTTTGTATTGGACCTATTTAACAAACTTACATAATTCGTTTTTTTTTATTATTACCTAGAAAATAATATAATTTAAATAAAAATAACAGAAACACATGCATGTGTAACGTCCTCTTAAAGGTAATAAAAAGCCACATATTTTCAGTGTTGGGTAATAACGTAAGTTACAAATTACTGTAACAAAATTACTTTGCAGTAATGCTGTAGTAATTTAATTGTATTATTTTATTTAAATAAACTTAATAATAACAAAATTACTTTTCCATGTTATAAAAATAAGTTATGAATGTAGAATGTATGACAAAAGCTGGAGGCTAGAATATTCTAGAAAAATTATTAAAATATATTTTTAGATAATAAATAATAATAAACAATACTATAAAAGATCCCAAGAACACATTGTGTTCATGTCTAACATTAGGTATTAATAATTTACCTACTACTTATTAGTCATTATGTTATTTGTTTTTTAAAAAAAGTAACGTTATTTGTAAAGCCCAACATTTTATATAAAAAGTAAAGTAACGTGGTGGAAATAATTTTGGGTTAACTCTAATTTAATTTAAATAAAAATATGTATTGTAACAAGTAACATAATTTTATTACTTTCCAAAAGTAATTAACCCAAAACTGCATATTGTATACATAAAAATTATAAACTAATTGGAAATCAATTTTGTTTTTATTTAATTTGATAAAAAACTACTCCAAATACATGATGGTTAGCGACATGTATGCACACATCAAGTACCTCCATCAGAGACAAGTCTTTTATATGTCCTTGGTGCTTCAAGGTCAGATGGTCTCCATTCATACTATAATATGATCCAAGATGTGGCAACTGGCAACCATATATAAAAGCATAAAACTATTAGGAAAAAAATAAAATTTATACATATTTTTTTTATGATCCTGTAAACAACATTATTATGGACCAATACCCATAGACCCCCTTCCCATACATACGTCACTAGCTCTTATAGATATTGCACTACAATGTTATTTGGTACTATATTTACACAAATGGGAAAACTACCGGAAAATACTCTAAAACAATTGTTGATACCTAAAAAAAAAATACCAATCGACGATTTATCCCCCAATAACTCCCCCCACCCATAAATACACCACTATACTGTGATCTATTGGAATTGGATTAACAATGTTAATTTAACATTTGTTATTTATTTAAGTTTGAACACTACAATATTATGCTATATTTTTAAAAATATAAGTTGCTTTCATCAATTATAAATTGTTATTTCTCCATATTATGATATTAAAAATAAATAACACCACAAAATGGTCATTTTCGAATTTTCAAAAAAATCAAAAAAAAATGTAGCGGTTTTTGAAAGTTGATTAGACCATTGTAAATTCGTCGTTCACGGGAACAAACCTCCTATGTGAAAAAAGTGTAGTTTTCGGGAAACACGAAAAAGGTTTTAAATAAATAAATCACATAGGAGTTATTTCATTAACGATTTATAGTTGGTAACATATACGAGGATTTTTCTACGGGGGAGATAGCTCCACATAAAAGATATTTCATAAACGATAAGTAGGTACCTACCACATAGAAGAATGTATTTATTATTTTTCATTAATTTTAGGATGCAGATGGCATGTAGGAGATTTTATCAATAAATAGCTAATTTTTTCTGAATTCAGGGATACCAAAACCCCCAAATCATAAATTTGGCACAATATAGGAGGCTTATTCCTGTGAACGACGTAATGTATAATACATGATGTAACAGGAAGACCAGACAAAGAAAAAAAAAATCCAATTTTCCTTAATTTTTTAAAAAATTTCTGTTTTAGAATAATACTATCTTATTTAAAATGTTTGGCATGAACAACGATTAATGAATTAAACGTAAATAAATTAAAAATAACTTTTTGTACTTATTAACACGTAGAAAAAAAGAAAATCATATTATAATTTAAAATATATTTTTAAAATTTAAAAGTACTGTTATTTTTGTTCACGTTCATCAAAAAAAAGAGTTCTTTCTTTTTCCTTTTTATTTATTTTTTAAGGAAGCAGATCCAAGCTTCGTAAGTACAAAAAGAACTCGTTCCATTAATCCGTTTCTTTTGGAACGAGTTCCTTCTCAACACTGGATCCTTTATGGGTATGATGTTCGTGGAGTGGAGAATTACTTTGTTGTTCAAAAACCACGCTTGACCGGTGTGATTTGGCTTTGAGAAGTTGGAGGCACTGGGTACTCCAAGGTCGATCCGCTTGCTGATAAGGTCGTCGTGCCTAACTTTGTCAAATGATTTTTTCAAGGACGAGCACGGTTATTCTTCTTTTGTTGAGATTTGGAGAAATATCTTCGATGACTCTGAAGAGTTGGGTGATAGTGCTTCTGAAGCCATGTTGGTCTAGACGGATTTTGAGTCTGGTGAGCAAAAGTTTCTCCAGGACTTTGGACATTGTGTTTAGGAGAGAGATCGTATGATAATTGACTGGGTTGGTAACGTCCTTGCCAAGCTTAGGAATGATGATGACGATAGCGTGCTTCCATGCAGAAGGAAATAGTTGAATCGTGTGCACCAGTTGAATACGCGGCAGAGAAGTGTAATGGTTTTACGTACACTATGCTTGAAGGCGCTGTTGCCAATTGTTTTGAACGGATTGATACAATTTCAATAAATAGTTACTAATTACTATGATAAGTAGTCTAACACAATACACAAAAATATATTGCAGAGTTTTAGCCACTTTAAGTATACATAAACTAAAGGTAATATTCAATAATAAAATGTATTATTAATGCTAAGATCATGGACCCTCCCCCCTCCGTCACCATGATAAAGATTCATTCGTTTCTAGGAGGAGAAATACAGTGTATTATGCATATTATGAATTCTTCTAATCCAAGGGGTCGATAAGACAGTAACTCTTGTACATTTTTACTGCGGCTCTACAAATACTTCTAATAATATTTAAAATCATACAAATGTCTACAAATAACTAATGTATATAGGTACATTTTTTATTCAAAGCAATTAAACTATATTTTAAACAATAATTTTATTTTATAATTTTTGTTCAAAAATAATAAAAGAATAACCGAACACTAAAAAACATGATTTTTGTTAATAATAAAATAAAATTTTTAGTATTGTATGTTATTTTTTTTTTAATAATGTTAATTGTATAGTGGCTCTTGATGAAACATAAAAAAAATTAGACCCGTTTGGGTAAAGTTGCTGACAGTGGACCAGTTTGATAATAAGGGGAACATGTGAACATTTCTAGACTTGAGCCCTTACTTGATCGGTAATAAAAATGAAAATGAAAATGGCCTTCCCCAAGGTTCAGTGATCAGTGTAACAATGTTCCTGCTAGCTATTAACAATATATTTAAAGAAATACCCAAACCTACGAAACACCTTCTATTTGCCGACGATTGCCACATTTATTGCAGTGGACAAAATATTAAAACCACGATGGAAATACTACAACAAGCACTTAATATTCTCCAAAATTGGTCAAATAAGACCGGTTTCAAATTCTCTCCAGGGAAAAGTAAATGTATTTGTTTCCACACTCGTACGACAGAGAACCTACAATTATTCCTTAATAATTCTGAAATACCCTTTTGCAAATCCTTACGCGTATTAGGAATGATCTTTGATAGTAAATTAAAATGGACCCAACACCTAAAGGAACTTAAAAGCTCTTGCAAAATGAAAATGAACATAATGAAAATACTTTCAAATCACACTTGGGGTGCTGACACAAAAAGCCTTCTAAATATTTACAAATCACTAATACTGTCACGAATAAATTACGGATCAATTATTTATAATTCAGCCAAAGAAAATCTACTCAAAATATTAGACCCTATACATAACGAAGGTATTCGCATTTCAATAGGAGCATACAGAACCAGCCCTATCGACAGTATTTTATGCTACGCTGGAGAACTACCTCTCAAACTCCAAAGAGAAAAAGACACACTCATCTACGGCATAAAAAGGAAAAGCACTCCTAATCACATAGGATACAACAATATTTTCCAAAACCAAAATAAAATCCTAACCAACATGTCTGGGAAACAAATACCACCCATACACGCCACCTTCTCCCGTTTGTGCACAAAGTTTAAAATCCACACATCCATTAAAAATAAAATTACTTTCCCAAAATTTTCACCTTGGCTTTGGAAAACCCACATAAATACCGAATTAACCAAATATAATAAGCATGAAACAAATTCGACAATTATCACGTCTCACTTCAAAGAAATCATCCAGAGTAAATACTCCATTTTTTCACAAATTTATACCGACGCATCTAAATCTCAACATGGAACTGGATTCGCAATCATCAAAGAAGAAACCGAAATCCTGCATAAGCTTCCTCCGGAGAGCAGCATTTTCACAGCAGAAAACCACGCCATATTAGAAGCAATCAAATCAATAAACCTGACACCTTCATATAACAATATTTTAATAATAAGTGACTCATTTAGTGCTCTTCTAGCTCTCCTAAACCCCTTCTCGACAAATGAAATAACCCAGAACATCCAAACTGAACTATATTCTACAAAAAAAAATATAGAATTTATGTGGGTACCTTTTCACACCAGCATTGCCGGTAACGAGATGGCCGATAAGTCAGCAGACAAAGCAGTTAAAACCATCTTACATCCAACAATCACTGACATACCGGCTAATGACATAAATATTTCCATTCGAAATAAAATAAATATGACATGGCAAAGTTACTGGGATTCTGTTCCTCCTTCCAACAAATTAAAAAAAATAAAAAAATGCACCCAGAAGTGGCACCATCTCCATAATTTAAACAGACGACAAGAAGTCACTCAAGCCAGAGTAAGAATTGGACATACTTCCCTGACCCATTCTTTTTTAATTAGAAAAAAACCACCACCCATATGTAATCAATGCCAAGAAGACCTAACCATTAAACACATCATCCTAGACTGCCCAAACCTCCAAAACACCAGAAATACCTTATCAATACACAACAACTTAGAAGAAGCTCTCCATGAAGACAACACCACAAAAATCTTAAATTTCCTTACACAAATTAACATTGCACACAATCTTTAATCAATATGTATTCGTATTCATAATTTAAGACTCTGTAACCTTTTAAATATGTAATCATTAATGTAACCCACACTATGTAAATGTATACAAGGCTAATAACCCCAGATGTTGAAGCCTCTTTTCTTACAATAAAAAAAAAAAAAAAAAAAAAAATGAAAAACAGACAATAGTCCTACCTTATTATAACTCTAAAATATATTGTTTTCTCACATTTCATAGTTAATAAATAATAATAATTATAGGTACGAATTAAGATATACAGGATACGAAACGAACTTGTGATAAGTGAAACCCGTACCTTCTCACGTTGCGGAACAATCCTATAAAGCGCTAGTGGTATAGCCGCAACTAAGGCTCTACATATTATGGGTATGCTTTGCCACCATTTTGCGACTCATTTATCAATGATAAAATTAAGGGGGAGAAATCCATATTCACATAAGATTATTAGTCTCAAAATGGCGGAGTAGCATTCCTGTATCTATAGTGCCCTACCGCAACGTGAGAAGCGGGCGGACTCGGAAAAACATTGATAAAGCCTTTTCCTTCCTTATCCTGCATATCTTAATTCTTATTTCGTGGTTATATACTCTATTCCATCTAAGAGTGAACCGCTTTCGCGCACGCAGACTGAGCCGCCGAACAGTGCCGACCCCTCATGGCGATGGCTATGCTTTCTGTGATTGGCGGACAGTGATCGCCGGCCGTCGTCGGACGCCCGTGTCAAGACTCCCACCGATGTCCGGATTGTGGTGGGAATGCGCGGAAAAAACATGTTTTGGTCAGCCGAGTGGTTCACTCTTAGATGGAACAGAGTATAGGTATATACCTAATTTTAGACAGGTACTTCTATGTACTTCTCCTAACCTTCTGAGTGCGCCGAGAGAGCACAAGTCGGCTGCGCAGGTCTCCGCGGGTTAGAGGTCTAATTTCTCCCACCAAGTCGACTGGTCATACGCCGTACGATGCGCGGACTACGACGGGTTTTGGTCGCCGCCGACTTGCGCTCTCTCGGCGCACTCAGTATAGGTACTCGTAATTTGAATTCTCTAAACTCAAAAGAGTAGACATTATTATTTATTGTTATTGTATTATAATAAATAATATATTACGTGTATATTACAGATTATAGTAGAAATATTGTATATGAGATCACGGGAGCCTTCCAAAACCAGGTATCCCTGTGAAATGCACACCCAACACTCTCGATAATTGCGCCACTGGTTGCTGACCTGGTATAAGGGGTAGTCCATATAATATGAAAATTATGATATTTTAATAGTATATGTACGGTCATAATATTATATACTTCAATAATGTACACAAAACAATCGGACAGTGTTAAGGAGAAAGGGTTCAAGTCTGTTTTTAAAAATTAAATATCATATTTATGTTTATACATAATTTTACGCCGGATAGACTGATATTTGGCTATCTGGATAGATAATATTATCATTGAGGATGAAACACGATGAAAGATATACAGGTTACTCAACGAAACTTATTTTTTGGTGGGCTTAAAATTAACGATCCTGTTATAGCAAGAATAACAGTTAGCGCTTTTGCATTATAGTGATTTCTCTTGATACTACAAAATATATCAATATAGATAATATACAATACTATGTATTGAAGCGCTAGTAGTTATTCTCGCATAGTTGATCAGCTGTTTAAACCCAACAATTAAGGGCACCACTTTTGATGTGTATGTGCATAATGTCGTTGAGTAACCTGTATATCTTAAATCGTGGGATGAAATAAGCCATATATCAGTGCCACCAGTCAATTATGTACAAAATGATGTATAAACAAAAGTATGATATTTAATTTTTAAAAACGGACTCGAACCCTTTCTCCCAAACACCGTATCATATTCATTTCATCATAAAATCAGGGGCACAGTTTAAAAATGTGCCATAATATTGTTAAAAAATGTACTAATATTAAATTAATTAAACAAATAATAATAATTGAATAAATTGTTGTTAAATATTTCCAATAAAAATCCAAAATTCACATAAAAATTTATTTTAAAAACTAAATTATAGCAAAACAATTTTAACAAACTGTATAGTTAATGAATGAAGTATTATACATGTACATATATGAAAATATACGCATTGCACAACACTATTCTGTAATTAAATTATGATCAGCCTTTGATTTTAACTCTCTCATAATGTAAGGTATCTTTTCATAATCAATAAGGCCATCCCAAACATCCATTGATATCGGTAAAACTGCTATACCCAAAGATTCAATGGTTTTGTTTGTAAGCATGTATGGACCTCTTAAACAATTTAAATTGATGACATAACTATTTGGTTTATAAAGTAATATGCCAATTCTAAAACAAAAAAATATGAACATTAATGTAAAGTAATATAGTAATATGATATAAATTAACAGTCAATGAATCAACTCACGCAAGATTATCACTAGCATCAACAATGTTTTCCAAAAATAATGATTTATCATCTTTGAATTCATTTTTAATGGCAACAGGATATCCACCTGGTCTCATAACTACTAAATGATCTAAAATCAAATAATTTTATCATGTCAAAAAATTAAAATGATGTAACATCTAAAAATAATATTGCAAACCAATAAAATGTCCCAATTGGCTTCTGACCCCTGTTAGTACATAATCACTTCCACCCAAACCATGTTCTAAAGCAGCTTTTAGTGGAAAATCATTAATATTGTGTTGATAAATATCAATAGATTTTTCAATAATTTCCTGAGGTGGAAATGATCCTTTATAACCTCCAGGGTATAAAGTCTTTGAAGCCTGGTACAATTTGAGCAGCATAATATGATCATATATATTATCACCTAGTTAGGTATAGAATCAACATTACAAAATTAATTGATACAATAAACTGAATAAACCTAATGAAAATGTATAGTTACATTTTTTTTTACATTAAAGTTCCTATATTTTTAATAATATTTCTATTTAATTATAAACTATCAATAGATTACTTCGTTTTAAGAATCCATAAAGAAAATCTCTAGAAAATACTCTTTCCAGAAGTTCTTCTGACCAACATCCCAAAACAGCCAAGTCGAATGTTGCTACTAGCCATGGTAGTTCTAAAACATCCTAAAATAATAAATAATAGAATTAATATAATAAATCTATTAAATTATCAGCAAAATATTTATTAATACCTTTTGAATGTTAAGTCTTGTCAAAATAAGTGGTTTTAACTCCTCAAAACCTGGTGGAACATAATTTGCATTGGCACAGGCTGCAATGTAAGATAATAATACTCCAAATTTAATATTCTCTAAAATATCATGTTTGCTGGTCAGTTTATTTGTCATGTAATCAAGTAATCTATGGTGAACATATCCCTGAAAAGACAATAAGAATTAATATTCTATCAACCTGATTATAATAATATAAAAATCAATATGCCTTACAATCCTATTTAATTTTTTTAATATGAATGCTAGAATTTCAAAACTATCTTCTTTTTTCATCAAGAATTCCATGACTGTATTTATAAATTGTTCGTTATAAAACAACTCAGAATCTGTGGAATACTTATTTATCATTCTTGACAAGATAGCGTCAAGATCTGAAACATCTGCTATGTATTCTAGATGGTTCATATAATATTGTAAGCATCTGTTAATTGTATCAATATATTTTTCAGTTGAATAGTGTTTGTAATACAAACAAAGTAATAAACTTTGAACAATTTTAGGACTAATTTGATCAATATTTTTTATAATTCTTGACATGACAAAGTCATATGTTTCTTGAGACAATCTATGTTTAGCTATATAGTTGAGGAATTCCACTTGCCAATATAAATTATCTTCTAGTTTGTATTGTACTTGTGTCTCAAAAACAATTGGCAAAGCAAGTTTTAAAGCATCGACTAAAGGGCATGATGATAATTCTTTTAATAAAAAATGTAAAAATGTGATTTGTTGTAAAGACATATCATTTATCATTTTACTAATCAACTGTAATAACATTTGCATTATGTTACTATTAACAGATACACCCAAATAAGATAAGCACTTGACACTATTCATTACATCATTTAGTTCAAGATTTCTTGAATAATTTTGAATTTTGCGACACATTGCTGTAAATTCTGGACTTCGTGTTAGTTCTTCCTTTGACAGTTTTGTTCTAAAATAAAAACATTATAATTAGTGAATAAAGAAACATTTTGTTAAGCATTTAAAAAGTTAAAACATATATTGATTTTTATGTTTACGTTTAATTTCAATCACAAAATTCTTAAAACACAGTTATTTATAACCGAATAATGTGTTAATTAATTCTTAGTATGCTAATATATATTTTCCATTAACTACTTTTTTTTTAAGAAATTGTACCCATTAAATGTGGTATTGAATAGAGAAATTTGAGATATTTTTAATTTAATTGTCTGAGTATAGAAAATCTTTTCAGTTATAATAACTTATTTATAAAGTTTATACATTAATATCCTTATAATTTTTGGTAAGCTAATTATTGTTGAATTATAAAAACCAATATTTGGGATAGCATTTAAATAGCATTTGAGTGTCAATTTCTCTAGATTCATTTCATGTAATAATAATATTATAAACTATGAATTTTGTGTTAGGCACATTTTTTTTTATAATATCTACAAAAAACAATTTGTAATCATACAGCCCAATGGTAGAAATAATCAACTATTTTGCTTTAAATGTTTAAAATGTAGTTATTTATAAAGAGAGAACTATGAATAATCTAAAAATGAAATTAATATTAAATGTGTATAGTTCATAATTTTTAAAAATATGTTATAACAGACAATAACACACTATATACCTTATTTTAATGAAGCACATAATTTTAATTTTTTAAACAAAATGTATACTAATGAAATAGAAAAAAAAATTTCCTTACCAATATTCATATGCTATATACTTAGTTCAAAATATAATAAAAATATTCATCAATATCAAGAAATCTAGTATTATTTTTATTATATTTTGAACTAAGTATATAGCATATGGATATTGTTAAAGTAAAATTGTTTAATATTTTTATATTATAATATAAATAATATTAATTGATATATTATTATATTATACTATACATTATTTTTTTTTTTTGTACGTTTTGATTAGTGTTAGCAGTAAGTACAATTTTAACAACAAAATAATAACAATTAACTATTTACCTATTACTTTTTTGTAGTAAAAATAAAGAATTTAATGCTTGTAAATGTTGTGGAGCACTCATCGCAGTGTTGTGAAGCCTTAACATTTGAATCACATCACTCGTTTGTTTTGCGTTTTTAATACTAGTTATTAAAACATCATTGGTAGTATCTATGTTAGATAAGCCCGACTGACTTATAGTATTTGATGCATGTCTCATTGTTTTAAAACCTGCAATATAATAAATAAAATATTTTAAGCATTAAAAATTATTATGAATATTCCAGAAATTACTTGACGAAACATATAACAATTTTGAATTTATATTTGTTGAAAACTGATGTTTTTGATTAATTGTAAACCGTTGCTTCAAAATATTTGATGATAAAATGTGAATTTGTCGCAGATACTGCACATACTTGCTGATTGTATTCATAGTAAATTTGCAGTCTAAAAATGAAAATAAAAAATATTAGTCAAGCATTTTGAGTACATAATATTATAATACGCATTTAACAATTTAAATTTGCATATATTATTGTAATTCTTATTCCACTAAAAATCTGTAGTAAGTATATTAACTATCATTTTCATAATTAATTGTTATTACTATAGTTAAGAAGTTTACCTACAATATACTTACATACTAATAATTATTTTCTAATGAGATAAAATAATGATAGTAAGGAAAATAATTAATAATTTTGGCTAAAAAATAATATCCATTAATTAAAAACCATTTAATTTGTTCTTAACATTTTTTATAACACATTAGAATTTTGAGAAAACCACACTCAAAATAATAAAGAACATGTTTGAGAAAATTGTTTGAATTTTAAGTTGGCTTTTTTATTTATTTATACAATGAAAATACATATAAATTTCGAATTTCCTGATGTTTATATTTATTTATTTAAATACATCAAACTAACTAATTTTAGTAAGTAGCTCATATTATAATAGTGATTATAATAGGCTAACGGTTATTTACAACAGTCCTCAATTATTTAATAAAAATGTTACCTTTTCGTGAGTTGTAAAATGTTAAAATGTATGGAGATCAAATTGATTTGTTTAATTATTAAGACTCAGGTCAATACCGAAATTAAAAACATGACTTTAAGAGTGGGCACCTTTAAATTAATTAATATAAATAAGAATATTATTATAAAAGCATGAAGAACATGGTATTATTGAATAGTTTCCAAAAGTTTCCAACACTTTTTAGTTTTTAAACGTCAATTATAAGTTATTTATTTTTCAATCTTAGTTTTAAATTCAACTTTTCAACATAGCCTTACATTATTGATAGAAAAATCGCTTATCGCTAAATTGCAAATTTATTATCATAAATGGGTATAGGGAAGTTGTACCAATATCCAAGAATTAGTAACGTCTCCCCAATAAACCATAATGTTGAAAGTCGTTTACTGACCCTTATAATAAATTATTATTTGCCTGAATAGGTATTATAATATTGTTTTGTCGTTTTGATCACGGATTAGTATATTAATCCGTGGTTTTTATGTACACAGTTTAGACAGTTTAGTATTTGTTTAAAGTCTTTGAAACTTGTGAATATTGCTTTTACACTTTTTCAGATCTTGGATATATTATAATTTATAGTATCCAGTAAAACTGCAAACGATTTAGGCATTCGAATAGGTAGGAATCACTGAACTAAATACATGGAACGCGTGCATTATTCAAAATAATATGGTTCGGATAGGAAGTCGCCATAAGAAAAACATGGTGTCAAGGGAAAACATGGTGAAATGTTAGGTTATGTATGAAAATTGTTAAAATCATCATAATAAAAAATCATGGTTAAAAATCAAATTGGAATGCATATGGCGGTTACCATTTTACTAAGGCTCTACCATTGAACTATATGATAACATATGTTATCATATAGTTCAATGGGCTCTACACACGATGTAGAGAAGATAATATCTTCACTACATCCACAGAACAACTACATCGTGGCTCGACATAATATAATGGGTATATACCTATCATGCTATGACGCCATTTTGCGACTCATTTATTAACGATAAAAATAAAGAGGGGGAAATGCATATTCACATAACATTATTAAGGTCCCCACACACTGCTGCGGTGGCGGTGGCGGTGAATTGCTGTAGAACACAATTCACCGCTCACCGCGGCGGCGAAGCCAAGACAATAGAATTTAACGCCACCGCTGCAGTGTGTGGGGACCTTTAAAATCTAGCCGCTAAATGTGCTCGCTAAGCTAGTGGAAGGTTTAGCGGTCGATTGTAATAACGGCCCTTAGTCGCAAAAAGTAGCATACCTAGTATTATACTAGTATTATGCTATTACCTAGTATCTATAGTGCCCTAATTTTACATACTTAAATGAGAATTATTCATAATACGCAGTCCATGTATCAAGTTCAGTGGTAGGCATAGGTACTTTGTATTTAAAATTTAAATACGATTCCCGGCTTCGGGTTTTGGCAGATAATATTTTTGTATAATATTTAATTGTAATAATAATCGTGTGTAAGTGGATGTCACTCTACCGCAAAGTAGCTTACAAGTGGGTCACTATATAATGGATGGTATTACATTTGAATTCAATGATATAATATCATTGTATAAGAAAAACGATTCTGAGCGGAGATGGTTTGTCAATCTGAATATTGTTATTATTTATTATATCCTGTAAGTTGAATTTATATTATAATAGGTATTATTATTTTTTATTCGTTTCTATGGTGATAAACAAAGCGTTAGAAATTAAAATCCCATTTTTAGCTGTTTTTACTGTGGCATTAATTAATGACTATTGAGAAAATCGAAAAATGACCTTTCTAAAGTACCATCTTGATCCAATTTGCTAAAAGATAAGGTACTATATGTTGAAATCGAAGCACTCCTTCTGGTAGATATTTTGTATACAGGATATAAAAAAATAAAAATTAACACCATTGTAAAACCCCTAACTTCCTCGCTCCTCTCGGAATCTAAAGTGCAAGCTTGGGCAAGTTAATGATAATTTTTAATTAAGTTAAGTTTGATAGAAAATATTTTTAAAAGTTTATAGTTAATATAGTTATCCTAATTTTTTTTTTTAACTCAGTTAAGTTATAAGTTGTTTTTTTTTAAATTATGAATTGCTAGTAATACGGTTTAAAATAATAAAAAGCAAATGTTTAAGCAACATGTATCATCAAGAATAATTGTGTTATATTTATTATTTAATAATTTATAAATTACAGTAACTTGATTTTGATTAAAATTAACTCATTCTTTATTAAGTTTATATCAATAAAAAGCAGTTAAGATTAAAATTAAGTTGATAAAAATTAAATTAAAAAAAAAGTTAAGTTAATAAGTTAGGTGGATGTAGCCTCTGTGAGTGAGCTACAGCCCAGGGGCTCTCACAGTTTTGTAAATATTTAATGGTAAATACAAAAGAAATTTGGTGTAGATTAAGTTACAAGTGGGTCACTGTAATGACCAATGGATGGTGTTAAATTTTAATTCAATGATATAAAATCAATGTATACGAAAAACGATACTGAGCTAAAATGGTCTGTCAGTTTCTAATATTACTAAGTAGGTATACAATATACATAAGTATATTTGATGGTATTATTGCGATTAAAGTAATTTATTTTACTATCAGGTATTTACGAATTAGTACAGCAGTAGGTAAGTTAAATTAATTTTTGCAAAAAAAATTACATTTGAAAATGTCATTGTGTTTACAATATAATAATATACCTACTCTAAAAGTTTCTATATACCCACGGACCTCAAATAATATTTTTAAATTATAACAATATAACTAAAACCGTTATTATTGGTCTTAATTCATAATTTAGCTCAAATCGTCCAAACCGTTACTCATCGATTAAAATATTATAATATATTTAATTTCGTCCAAATTTGAAGTTAAAATGTCTGTAAAAAAACTGTATTTATACATTTTTAGAATTTTTTATTACTCTATTTATGAGAAACTGTTTTAAATTGTATATATTATTTTCCATATTTATAATTTTTAACTACAATACATTTTTGATTTTTTGAGTTTGTCAAAATTTTGAACTTACATAATTATAAAAAAATATATACCAACTAAATACTTGGGTATACCTATAGGCTGTATATACGTATTTGAGGATGTCAGAGCACCACAAATTTTGTTTTCTCTGTGCCTTACGCGAACATAGCCAAAACGCATTAATTAATCATTTATTTTGAGTAAAATCACTCATTATACAAAAATTAATGAGAATAATATTTTTAAGGGTTTGACATATCAATTTGTAATATTTTAAATATTGCCTCAAAACCATTTCAAATTACAATATTTTTTTTAAAAAGTCTAATAATAAAAGAATACTGGGTGATTCTTTTATCAACAACACTCATTATTTCAAAAAGTGTAAATTTTTTTGAAGATATTTTTTTTACATAGTTTCAAGTCGCTTATAAAACAACGTTTTTATTAAAAAATTATTTTTTAAATTATTTTTTATCCTTATAATTTTTTAAGTTTTTTACTTTTTTGAATGACAACATAGGTTTTTAATTTTATATTCTAAAGTAGAATATTTTTATAAGTAGTTTAATACATGAAAATTGAATTTGGGGCGAGTAGTTTATGAGTTATAAGTAATTAAAGTTTAGACGAGCGGTGAAGTGGACAAACATTTCGCGGGGTAACCCTGAACCACTCCACTCCGCTCGCATAACTTTAAATACTTATAACTAGTTATAACTCATAAACTACTCAACCCAAATTCGATTTTCATGTATCAAAATACTAAGAAAAATAATCTGCTTTGGAATATAAAATTAAAACCCTATGTTGTTATTCAAAAAAGTAAAAACTTAAAAAATTATAAGGATAAAAAATATTTAAAAATATAATTTTTTAATAAAACGTTATTTTAGTAAGCCGACTTGAAACTATGTAAAAAAATATTTTCAAAAAAATTAACACTTTTTGAAATAATGAGTGTTGTTTGATAAAAGAATCACCCAGTATAAAACTGATACAGCAATACCTATGTCAAACCCTCAATAATATTTTTTTAATTTTGTGATAGAAACTTATTTTAAGATTACTAATAATTAATAAATCATAAAAATGAATTTTACGTGGATGCGTTTTGTTTATGTGCCTCGACAATTCCCAGTCCTCATAACTGTAGGTCATATTATAACTGTATATTATGATATAATTGTTAAATTGTATTTATTGCCAAACACTCCAACCCTGCCTGTAATATATTACTCTATTTACTATTATATTAGATATATAAAATATTCATAAGCAAAAATAGGTTGCTTTTGTTTTAAGTGCATTAAGTGCAATAAAATAGAAAAGCTTCTAAAAATTACTTTTATTCTTAAAATATTAATTTATTCATCCATATAATATCATGATTAAGATTTT